ATAAATTTCTAGAAAACACATAATCTTCCAAAACTGATTCAGGAAGAAATAGTAAATTTGAACAGACCAAGTACCAACAATGCAATTGAATCAATAATCAAAAAACTCCCAAAAAACAAAAGTCTAGGACCATATATGTTTACAGGTGAATTCTACCAAACAGTTAAATAAGAGTTAATACCTATACTTCTCAAACTATTTCAAAAAATAAAAGAGGAAGGAATGCTTCCAAATTCAGTCTATGAAGCCAAACCAGATAAAGATACAACAAAAAAGAGAACAACAGGCTGCTATCTCTGATGAACACACATGAAAATATCCTAAGCTATGTTAGCAAACCAAATCCAACTGTACATTAAACAAATCATCTGCCACAATTAAGTGGAATTTATTCCTGGGATGTGAGTGTGGTTCAATATTTGCACATCAGTCAATGTGAATCATCACATCAAAAAGAGAAAGAATAAAAATCATTATCATTTCAATAGATGCAGAAAAAGCACTTCACAAATTACAACATCTGTTCATGATAGAAACCCTCCACAAAGTGGGTTCAGATGGAACATACCTCAACATAATTAAGGACATATATAAAAAACCCACAGCTAACATCATCCTCAATGGGGAAAAACTGAGAGTTTTTCCTCTAGGATCAAGAACAAGAAAATGTCCACTCTCAGTTGTTTTTGTTTTAAATATTTATTTATTTATTTATTTTAGAGAGAAAGAGTGAGCATGTGGTGGGGGGGAGAAGTGCAGAGGGAGAAGGATAGAGAATCCCAAGCAGACTCCCAGCTGAGCACGGAGCCTGACAGGGCTTGATCCCACTACCCTGAGATCATGACCTGAGCTAAAACCAACAGTCAGATGCTTAACCAACTGAGCCATCCAGGCACCCCTGTCTACTCTCAGTTTTATTCAACACAGTACTGGGAGCCTTAGCTACAGTAATCAGACAAGAAAAATAAATGATAGGAATCCATATTGGTAAATTAGAAGTAAAACTTTCCCTATTTGCAGATGATATGAAAATCCTACTAGAAGCAATAAATGAATTCAGTAAAGTTGCAGAAAACAAAATCAATACCTAGAGTTGGTAGTGTTTCTATACACTGTAAATGAAGTAGCTTTCAGAAAGAGAAATTTAGGAAACAACACTATTTAAAATTGCACCAAAAGGAATAAATACGTAAGAAGTGAAAAGTCTGTACTCTGAAAACTATAAAACACTGATAAAAGGAACTGAGCATGACACCAAAAAACAGAAAGATATTTCATGCTCATGGACTGCAGAAATATTATTAAAATATCCATGTTACTCAAAGCAATCTATAGATTTAATGCAATCCCTATCAAAATGCAATGGCATTTTTCACAGAACTAGAACAAGTAATACTGAAATTTGTATGGAACCATGAAAGACTCTGAATAGCCAAAGCAATCTTGAGAAAGAAAAGCACAGTTATCACAGTTCCAGACGTCAAGATACACTATAAAGCTGAAGTAATCAAAACAGTATGGTACTGGCACAAAGAAGAGACACATAGATCAACAGAATAAAAGAGAGAATTCAGAAATAAATACATGATTATATGGTCAATTAATCTATGAATAAGGAGGCAAGAATACACAATAGAGAAAAGATAGTCACTTCAATAAATGGTGCTGGGAAAATTGGACAGTTACACGAAAAAGAATGAAACTAGACCACTTTTTAACACCACACATAAACGCAAAATGGATTAAAGACTTAAATGTGAGACATGAAACCATAAAAATCCTAGAACAGAGTATAGGCAGTAATTTCCCAGACCTCAGCCACAGCACTATTTTTTCTAGATATGTCTCCTGAAGCAAGGAAACAAAATCAAAAATAAACTATTGGGACTACATCAAAATAAAAAGTTTTTGCACAGCAAAGGCCACCAACAAAACAAAAAGACAACCTACTGAATGGGAGAAGATATTTACAAATGATATATGCAACTGGGGGTTAATATCCAAAATATATAAGGAACTTACACAACTCAACATCAAAAAGAAAAAAAAATCCAATTAAAAAATGGGTAGATGACATTTACAGATATTTCTCCAAAGACATAGAGATGGCCAACAGACACATGAAAAGATGCTCAACATCACTAATTATCAGGTAGCTACAAATTAGAACCACCATGAGGTATCACTATATACCTGTCAAAATGGCTAAAACCAAAAACAAGAAATAAAGAAGTTTAGCAAGAATGTGGAGAAAAAGGAACCCTCTTGCACTGTTGGTGGGAATGCAGATTGGAACAGCTACTGTGGAAAACAGTATGGAGGCTGCTCAAAAAATTAAAAGTAGAACTATCATATGACACAATAATTCCAGTATTATTTACCCAAAAAACACAAAGACTCTAATTTGAAAAGATAAATGCACCCATATGTTTACTATAGCATTATTTACAATAGTCAAGATATGGAAGTAAACTAAGTGTCCATCAACAGACAAATGGATAAAAAAAGAAGTGGTATGTAGACACACACACACAGACACACACACACACACAGGAGTATTATATAGGCATAAAAAGGATGAGATGTGCCATTTGAGACAACATGGATTAACCTAGAGGGTATTATGCTAAGTGAAATACATCAGATAAATACCATATAATTCCACTAACTGGAAGTTTTAAAAATGAATAAACAAACAAAAAGCAAAATGAGATCTATAAATACAGACCACTAACTGGTGGTTGCCAGAGGGGAGAAGGGTGGAGTGTTGGGCAAATTGGTTGAAGGTGAGTGGGAGATACAGACTTCTAGTTATTGAATGGCTAAGTCATAGGAATGAATGCACAGCATGAGGAATGTAGCTAATGATGGTGTAAGAACAGTGTTTCAGGATAGATGGTAGCTACACTTGTGGTGAGCATAGCATAATGTATAGTCTTGTTGAATCACTATGTTGTACACCTGAAACTAACGTAACATCGTGTGTCAACTATACATACATACGTACATACATACATAACTCCTAAAAAATCCCTGAATTTTTCTTTTAAATAAACATTTAATGAGCATGTTACCTGCTGGATTGATACTAGGTAATTTCACCAACAATATCACAGTTAAATAAAATCTTGGTTATTGCTACTCTTGCAACAACTATGTATACTCATTATTCAATGAAGAAAAGTATCTGGTTGCTTAAATTGGACCCAATTTTTACTATCTTGAATAATTAATTTACACAGCATGCACGATCTGATTTCACCTCTTCATGCCTGAATGTCATTGAAAAAAAAAAATAAAAAGCCTAGAAGAACCACTGGATGGAATCAAACAGAGCACTCCAGGTATAACCCAAAATGGGTTTCAAACCCCAATTTCTCTCTTTCAGTTTCATAACTAAAGGATTCCTTGGTTAGTTCCGTGTTCATCTGAATGTGAAGCAGCTCTCTCGCCAAGGTGATTTTCTCCTGGCAACCAATTCTTAAGTAAATATCATAAGGAGAGTTTATCCACTGAATACCAGTTTGACCCAAATTACAATTCACCTGATTAAATATTAAGAATTTGAAGGGGATGAGCTATTATTAAATATAAGTCAAAGAACCTTCCTTCAATTCATTTCTTATGATTACACCCACCTCACCCTTACAGCTGAACAGCAAGATAACTCTCTACGTATAGAAGAGTAGTTCTCATGATTTCAGCTTATGTCTATCTAGACAAAGCATCAATTTCAGTGTGTTCTCTAGTGAGTCATATATGATGTACATCTATGATGGCTCTAACAGGTGGCTTGGAGCTAAGTTCCTGGCCACAAAATGGTTAACTCAAGATATTAGACAGAGACAGTACTTTAAAATTAGGGTAACAGAGGGGCGCCTGGGTGGCTCAGTTGTTGGGCGTCTGCCTTCGGCTTGGGTCGTGATCCCGGGGTGCTGGGATCGGGCCCCACATCGGGCTCCCTCCTCGGCAGGGGGCCTGCTTCTCCCTCTCCCACTCCCCCTACTTGTGTTCCCTCTCTTGCTGTGTCTCTGTCAAATGAATAAATAAAATCTTTCAAAAAAATAAAATAAAATAAAATAAAATTAGGGTAACAGAGAAATTCAGTCCATGTAAAAAAGCAAAAAAAATAAAAATAAAAAGTTTAGCCAGGAGAGGTAAGAAGTTTCTCCCCACATACTGTATGGAGATCTATTTGAGCAAAGGGGAAAAGAACAAATATTCAACCCTCCTACATGTGACAGGCTGTAGGATATATTAGAAAGGGAATGAATAAGAATTGGAAAATGCAGCTTCCAGTCCAAGTCCCCATTCTGCTGCTCACCATCTCTTTGACCAGATATAAATAACCACCTCTCTGAGTTTTTTTTTTTCCTTCCTCTCTGTAAAACTGACAAAAAGGATCCTGACTTACCCACTTCAGGGAATTGCTGAGGGAATCAAAGAGATAATAGATGGAAAATTCCTTCACAGTAGTACTTCACAGACTCACAGTAAAGAATATTCCACCAGGAGTAAGGAGACCTAGCTAGCCTAACCTCTGGCTTGGCCCCAGGGAAGCTGTGTGATTCTCCAACAAAGCATGCACTCTTCTCGAATTTTTGTTGCTTACCTATACAATGTGAAAAAGTCAAATGAAATATTCAAAATAACAGATCTTAGAATCTGAACGTTTGGCAGAATACCAGAAATTGTACAGAACTCTTTTTCCCTCCAGATTTTTTATTTCAGTAGAAAAATGACTTAAAGTCAGAGGGACCTGCAGCTGTTGCCAATACCATGTGTCCACCTTTAAAATTTTAATCACACATTATTGGGGGTAGTCGAGGAGGAAAGTAACTTAACAAGATTTGGTACACCCTTAACTGAATGATAAATGTATTTCAAACTAACTTTGATCAAATTCTACTTGCTTTTAATTCAAGGCTATAGCAATCTTTCATACTCCTTAGACAGTCTGATGCATTTTAAATACACATTATGAAATTCATTACCCATACCTGAAAAGGCTGCCTGCTGGAAACATTGAGGTGTTTCCTTATCCATCTGTTGCCTTGATTCCCAAATATCTGCCACAACAGCTGTCCTCTTGTGTTACTCCATATTCTCTGGTAGACGGCCAGCCTATAAATGTGCTTTCCAAACATGTGGTAATATACACGGAAGGTACAGCCCTCTGCATTGGTGGCGTTGAGGATAGGGCTGAGTAAAGTAGCTCTGTTTTGGAAAACCTGTGGCTCCGAAGATTCTATGTAGAGATAGTGTCCTTTAGCTGTGCCCAAAGTATTATCCTTCATTGGCCCTGTATTAAGTGTTGAAGTTGGACCCTGCGTCCTGGTCCAATCAAAGTCATCTTCTGTATCTTGTTCCCAGTTACAAATTCCATTTTCAAAGTTACATTGGAGTTCAGGTACTGAAATTGGCATTAAATAATAGCAAAAAAATAATTAAGGACAAAAATAACTACAGTTAAGAACACATTGCAGTCAAATGCTCTACCCCTGAGCTATACCCCCCAGTTAAGAACACATTGATATTTTGCTCCTGCCAAGGGTAACCATTTTAATTGTTTTTAAAAGGCAACATTAAAGTTTCTAAAAGGTGAATAAATCCTAGATTTACATCAAGTAATATTTTATAGGCTGAAGGCAGAGTTACATTAGCCATTATTCTCCAAATGCCTTTTATGACCATCCCTTCACCATTTCTAGCACTATAACCCTATGCAAATGATCATGACATCATGGTTGACTCAACGCTACAAACTTCCGGCTCAGTCGATTTCAACCTTAGTAGAACGTTTCAATCACCAGTGAACATTAAAAATCAAAACAAAACAAAAAACGCCAAGTCCCAGAATTTATCTCCAGAGATGTGGATTTTTTTTTTTTTAAGATTTATTTATTTGAGAGAGTGCAGGATGGGTGGCAGAGGGAGAGAGAGAATCTCCAGCAGACTCCCCGCTGAGCACGAAACCCAGCACAGGGCTCGATCTCACAACCCTGAGATCATGATCTGAGTCTAAATCAAGAGTCGGACTCCTAACCCACTGAGCTACCCGGACGCCCCCAGAGATGTTGATGTAACTGGTGCAAATAGTGCAGCTGAACATCAGGATACCTCATCATCTCCCTTGGTGATTCTAACATGCAGAACTGAGAACAGTCATATTTTAATAGGGCTCAATCTTCCAGAATCACCTGAGGTGTGTAGAATTGCTTACTCCTTGTGTGAAGCCCCATACAAGGACTAGCTTGTTAGATATGGGGTGAAGCCCAGGAATCCATATTTTTAACAAGCACCTGACAGGATTCTGATGCCAGTGTTTTCCACACCTCATGCTGAAAAACCTCTCCCTCTGGTTCCATCTTGGCCCAGTTCCAAATGTCCTTCAGCGCCAGTGCCAGAATGACCACTCTTCCACCTTCCACAGCAATTTATCTTTTTCCTCCTCTATTCAAAATCCTACAATATATACTCATTTAATCTGAACTTAAATCTAAACTCTTCTTTCAAGCTTCACCTTTCCCAAATTAACTTCCTGTTCATCCCTAACTATCCTTCCCCTTCGCATCTTCCCGACGTGCCTGAAACACCTCACCCCTCTCTCCTTCTCTATTTATGCTTCCTGCTGTGCTTTGTCTCCTGGAGGTAGTCTTTTCTTCTCACTACATTGCAGCTCCTTTGAGCTGGAGCTTTTAAAGTTTAAACTCCTCTCAGTCCCTAGAAGAATTCAAAGCACTTAGGAAGAATTGACTTGTCCCTTGTCAACTAGACAATCTACCATAATTTCTAGCATAATATAGGAATGTACTCATTTTGGGGGATGTGAGCATTTTGTTGACACCAAGGATTTGTGTAGAATAAATGCCATAGAATGTACATTTAGCATGATTTTGGCAGAAGGAACAGGATTTAGAATTAACAAGGACTTCTACATTTTAGTTTCATTTACATAAGTTAATATTTTTAAAAAATAAATGTCAGCTGTCCTTTAACTATTCATCTTAGTAAATGCACTTGGTGCCAAAGGGGAATAAATATTCTGAAACAATAAACGTAAGCATATGTGGATAAATGCAGCCAGGCAAGAACAAATCATCTGTCTTTGAAAACCACAGAACAGGAGCTTAGACCTAATGAAGGGAACCCAGTGAGTAAATGTCAAATGGGAGATGAGCTTTCATTTGATATTTCCTCACTTGTGACTAATCAAGCCCAGTTATGACGTGAACTAGGGACCTGCAGCGCACTCCCGATGTGTCAGTCTTTGGCTGTGGAGCAGAAGGAGAATGTCAAGCTGCTAAGGTTTTTGACATAAAACTGGCACTCAAGCCAACGGACTTTGATATTGCCTGTTTTCATATTGACTGTACGTTAAATCTTTATTTCAAAAGGGAATGCATATACCTGAACCTTTAAATACAAAACCATTTCTCTAAACATAGGGAACTTTAGGAAATACAACAGTGATTTCTGGATGTCTAATGCATTCTGTGTAATCCAGTAATATGTCTATATGGACAGCCGTGAGAGAAATGGACTGTCTAATGCCACACTATTCGCTTTCATTAATATTTAGTCACAAGAAGTATTCTAGTATTATACTTGTACCTGCCATAATTCCATTCTAAGTTAATACTGAGTGGTTTGAGGGATAATGTGCTTGTTTTTAGCAACACAGCAATGTTTTTTTTTGAGGAGTAGGATTTGGAGAGCTTCAAAAAGATGAGAAAGCTTTCTAAATCTGCAAAAATAAATTACCTTGAGGATAAGTAACACTTTTTGTGTTAGCCATTGTCTAAGTTATCAACTTTATTTATATCCACTCAAGGTATTAGTTGTATAATGAGATGCATGGTAATTCTGACTTCAACCACCTGACTCTATCAAAGACCACATATATGCAGCACTCTCTACAATAATTTATATGGAAATTTCCTATGATGTACCAAGCATTTTATGGCTTCACTTTAGTTTATAATTAGCCTCTCAATGTAATAGGCATATAGCTTGAATTTTAAGAATTGTTGCTATTTCTGGACAAGGGAAGATACAAACTCTTTTTCTGACTGATTTTTGTAATTAAAAAAAAACAGCTATGAGCTTCTGATTCATTTTCAGGAGCAAGTGCAGTGGGCACTATCTGGAGCTAGGTTCATAAAACTGTAAAACATATATAATCATCAGATACCATAAGCTTTCTGGTAATTTAAACCAGAAACTCAAGACTTATCTTTGACAGCCCACTCTCTGCTTCCAAAACATCATCAAATGCCCCTCCTAAATATTTTCCCAAACCTCAGTCCCTCCATCTCCATCACTCTGGCTGTGTTACAGGCTGCCCACCCCTCCTCAGTGGACTACCACAATGGCCTGCTGATGGGTCTCCTGAATCCACTCTTCTCCAATCCACTCATCACATTGTATCCACAGTGACATGTTTTAATATGCCAATTTTATTAAATTACCTTTCTTATTAAAAACCTACAAATGAAGAGAAACCTCCTTAATGTGGACAATAAAGATCTGCAAATCCGGCCTCCCCCACACTTCTGTCCTTATGCTGCACCCTCTCTCCCCTTCACCTCCTCACTCCAGCCACATCTGCCATGCAGTCACTTATCAGGGCTTTTGCATAGATGCTTCGACTTCTCATTTTTCAGATCTCAGCTAAGTCATCACCTCTAGGGAGTTCAATACCATTATTATAAAAAGTCACAGATCCCTCTCTGGATCTCCTATCAAAGCTGCCACTTTGTATTTATTTTTTAAATCTTTGAATAACATCGATCTCCTCGATTAAACCGTAAGCTCCCTGAGATCTGAGACTCGGCAGTTGTGTTCAGCATTTTATCTCTAGTATCTAGTTCGCAAGTCTCCACAACAAATATTGGTAGCCCGACTAATTCATCACTCATTAAAGTCATCAACTTTGGAAAAATGTTTCGTGTCTTTGCCTCGATTGGCTAGAACTAATCAAAATCCCCACTGTCAAAATAAGAAGGACCAAAAAAAGAAAAATAATAAAGTACTTACCACAGTCATCCTCATCAGTGTGATCACCACAATCATCTACCAGATCACATAACAGAAGCTTTTCTACGCAAGCCTTGCTGTGTCGACACCAGAAAAAATCTGGCTCTTCACAGCTCTCCGCAGGAAGGGGAAGAGTACAATTATCAAATCTGATGTCATCAATAGCTGAGACTCCATCATAAATGCCAAGACTGACTTTATCTAGTGACAAATGGAAGGGCTGAGTAAGGCGTCCCAGCTGAATAGTCACCTGTGACCACTGGTTGCCCTGGTTATATAATACTCTCCAGAGCACTGTAGAGTCATTGGAATTTTCCATGTGTAGCTGTAGCTCAGCTGCTCCCACTGACAGGCCATAGTTATAAAACCTGAAAAAAGAACAAACACAAGAAATGTAAATGATTTATGGCATAGATGAAACATTTAACTTATGGGCTCTCCCACTCAATCAACAGTCAATTAACAATTAGCTATCATAATGGACGCCTTTATTTCTTGCAGTAATTGTGGCTGCTCATAGGCGAGAGCTTATCTGCTGAGGTACATACTCTGGCTTGCAGGACCCTGGGAGCCTTTCCCAAGGAGTTCAACCCAGAACAAGGGAAGCAGAGTTAATTAAATTATAATCCATTGTTGGAGGGAAAGAGTCCTTTTCGTCTAAAGAAAGAACACAACAAATACTGATAATGTGCTCCTAAGTAAAATGCTAACTGTATAAATCTAATGCAATACCTATTTTTAAAGCCAAACCAGGGGCAAATCATAAAGTCTGGTAAGTGCAGGAGTATGCCTGCAACCACTGGGTTGCAAGGGTAGCTGACCAAGGTCATTAGTATTTACCAGAAGGAAAGCGTGCATCCAGATCCTGCCTGGCTAAAGGTTGGGCTCTGGAGTTTGGCAACTTGTGACAAGCTTCTGCTTCTCTTCAGAATGAACATAAAATGCCCTATTGGGACACAAATACAAATCGTATGTTAGCCGACTGAGTTGACACACCTGCCCCTCAGCCCTATACTAAGTGCTGTGTCTGACTAAAATTAAGATTATACTATTAAAAATCAATAAAAGTGATTGTTAGTCAAATTTGTTCTTGTGAAAACTAAATTCATATCCACCTCTCGGTGAAAATGATGCAAAAAGTTAATAATTTCAGTGAATTCAGCCAAAACCTATCTATACTCCCTCTCCACCACCCATAAAGGAGTCATTTCATACTGACAAACATCAGCACAATTGACAATATTCATCTGTCACACTATTTGTTGCGCTAACATAGAACTTTAAATGCTTCTTTCTCTTAACAGACCTGACCAAGGGTGAATGGAAGGAGTAACAGAGAGCCTCTCCTTGTTTCTTACCTTCAGCTGTGTTGTGAGTATGATCCCAAGGTGGAGCCTGTTGCTCAAATTCAGCCGAAAGGTTACTTCTAGAGTTCCATACCCAGTCAAAATTGTCACCACTGATTGCTTCAAACCAACCACAGCTATTTGCTTCAAAGTCGCATTTGGAACCTGAGAAAACAAAATGTGACTCCTAAGGTGGGTCTCCAAAGTATTCTCATACTTTAGGAAGGGTAGAACTCAACTGAAATCACCTTGTTATACTTCTCTAAGTACATTAAAGGACACCTTGGAGGAAAAAAAGGATCCTACCTGATCTAAAAAAAAAAAAAAATAGAGTTGTGCTTTTCATACTGGAAATTGATAAAGCAGAATTATCAATTTAAGAAATTAAATTTTTACCAAATATTTTTTCAAAGAAACAGCATTATTAGCCATTTTGGTTATAGAACTGCTAAGGTCTAATTTATTCTGATACTCGCCACTATGACATCATCTGGAAGACTTAATTATTCCTACAGTTTATTTTACACTAAAACATGAAAAGTAGTTATTTCTAAAAAAAATTAATATTTGAAAAATCCAGATTATATTTAATATAACATTCACCACAAATTTTGTAAAGCTTAATATTTCTCAAAGGACTGTGTGCATTGCATAATTTGTGCAGGGAAGAATAATTTGAACCACTTTTCAAGTAAATATGTAAGAAATAGTTAATTTCCACAAAGCCATAAGGGCAGGACTGGGAAGTTATAATAATAGTGTTGAATGATAGCTAATATTTAATAGATACCTATATCATAGACCCTGTACTAAACACTTTATATAGATCCAACTTTCACAATAGCCAAATGAAGAAAGTGTTGTTGTTATAGTTGCTTTACAGATGAAGAAAGGAAAGTTCAAGGAAGTTATTAACCTAACCAAGGTCAGATAGTTAGGAAACTGTACAGATGGATTGAAATCCAAAGATTTTCATTCCAGATCTAATATTCTTTCTGCAACTATTGACAATAACTGTTAATTGCTATGATATTGGAAAAAAGATAAACCCAAAAGGCATAATCTGAGTTCATTCAGCGTGGACATTCAGTGTTACTATATATCCCAATGCAAAATGAAGCTTGCTCCTATAGATGATTATTGCACTGGAATCCTTGGTCATTGGTTATTTATATCCAAGGATACAGTAATAATTTGCATAGATCTTCCCTTGTAAAAATATTTAGTAAGCAATAAGCTTAGGGAATAAAAGTATACAGTAAGTCACTCATTGAGATTATAAAATTCAAAATTACAAGGGAATTTGAACCTAATGATAAATCATTTTCAATTTTAAAAATGCTTTACCTACACAGGGAGGAAGGTGAGGTGAGTTGTAATATTATAGATATAAAATATTATAAAATATTTATAAATATTATATTATTTTTTAAGTTTCTATAAAATATCTGATTTTAAAAATATACTTGCTTTCTATCAGGTTTCCTGATATGACTGTAGAGTAACTTAAAAATATGACCAAAAATCAGTGAGAATGTATGATACTTTTAAAATGTTGCATTAGCTTTGGGGCACCTGGGTGGCTCAATCAGTTAAGCAACTGATTTGGCTCAAGTCATGATCTAAGGGTTGTGGGATTGAGCCCTGCATCAGGCTCTGTGCTCAGCAGGGAGCCTGCTTGAGATTCTCTCTCCCTGTCCTTCTGCCCCTCCCCCCAAAATAAATAAATCTTTAAAAAAGCACACAAAATATAAAATGTTGCATCAACTTTCATAAGGAATAACTATATTTCATTATATTAGGAATCAGAAAAATCAACAAATTAGCTATATTTAGAATGAAGATTTCTCAAGTAAAGTTTACAAATTTGTGGAGAGAAAATTAAATGCTGCTCAATGGGGAAAAATAATAATGATAATTATGACAACTTAGGGATAAATTCTCAGAATATTTAAGGCTATATTTTCAAAGGCCATCTCTTTTTACAAATACATAATATATAAATAATCCATAAGTATACATAGATTCCAGGGGCTTCAAAGTATGTAGTTGCCATTTCAATCCCTGGGAAAGCAATGCTTTTGATTCCTATTTCAGACAATCCAAAAATTTAAAAAAAAAAAAAAGAAAGGATCCAGGACTGCTTTTATGCAAATACAGAAAGGAAAGGAGTTATTGCTACTTTGGAATAGCTATCCCACATAGCTACCCAGAAAGGGAGCCTTATCGTCTATCGTCTGCTATCCAGGGAGATACTGATGCAGAAATAAATGAATATTCTAATGGTAGATAAATTTCAGAAACCATTGTGGCAATTTTCTGGTTTTCTTAGATAAGGCCCACCAAAAATAGCAATTTTTAACAGATGATTATGTTGTTAAACTTCAAATATGCCTGTCTCATCTACTTTGTTTCTAAATAGATTTCTATACACATTTTAAAAACTCACTTCAGCTGATGTAACAAGTCAGCTGAAAGTAATCTGGTTAGCTGTTAACCAAATATATACTTCATTAGAACAGCTGTTGGAAATTATGTATGCCTTTTCCTGACTTAGAAATACAAGGTGCTGGTACATTTTAATAATTGAGGTTCAAAGATTGTTCACTTTTCTGGAGCCTCATGATCGACTTTCTCAATTATCATCATCAGAAACAACATAATTTGTAAGAACAATCGCAGTTACCATTACTTTAGGGTTTATTGTGTACCAAGCTTTGTCTAGGGGTTATTATGTTCATAACAGGATGCCTATTGACATAAAGTTTCTAAAAATTATCTATTCCTATGGATATGGGTAAAAAAGCTAGTGACTCTATAGCAGCTTTTCTTATTTTTCAGTAAAATTACCCTTGTTGCCTCTATTACTTATGTAAATATAATTATAAGTAGCTATCCCTGAGGAAAGGGTACTAGGAGATATTTGGTGGACTGACACACAGCTCCATCACCTTACACCATCACTGTCATGCTAAGAGCTTTTCACTGAGACAGAAAAAGATAAATTTATGTAGGAGCCTAGGAACTTTGTGAGGAGGAAAAAATACAGAATCGGATGGTCTTATATCAGATTCACTCAGAACTTCTCTGATGATTTGAGATGATCCCTACAGAGAATCATGTGTAAGAAATAAACATGAAAGGTACAAAGTGTCTGAGCTGATAATTTGGGTCTCGTGCAAAGACAAAAATTTATAGAAGAGTGCTTCTTAATATCTACCCAAGGAGGTGAAAAATTTACAGCCACACAAAAACGTGTATGTGGATATTTACAGCAGCTTTATTCCTTTTTTTTTCCAGCAACTTTATTCCTAATTGCCAAAACTTGGAAGCGACAAAAGAGTCCCTCAGTAGGTGAATGGTTAAATAAACTGTGGTACATCCAGACAGTGGAATATTATTCAGCACTAAAAATAAATGAGCTATCAAGCCATGAAAAGACATGGAGGAAACTGAAATGCATATTACTAAGTGAAAGAAGCCAGTCTGAAAAGCCTCCATACTGTAGGCTTTCAACTATATGACATTCTGGAAAAGGCAAAACCGTGAAGACAGTAAAAGGATCAGTGGTTGCCAGAAGTTGGACGTGGGGGGAGGGCTGACTAGGTGGAGCACAGAGTATCTTTATGGCAGTGAAAATACTCTGCATGATACCATATTGACAAACAGATTTTACCACACATTCTTCCAAACCCACAGAATGTACAACACCAAGAATGAACCCTAATATAAATTACGGGCTTTGGGTAATTATTATGTGTCAGTGTAGATTCATCAGTTGTAACAAATCTCCCCCTCCAACCAGGAAATGTTGATGTAGGAGAAGGGGGGTGGGTGTGTGGGTGTGTGGGTGTGTGTGTGTGTGTGCATATGTATGTATGTAGGGTGGGGAATGTAAATGGGAAATCTCTACTTTCTCCTCAACTTTCCCTCCCCACCCCCATACTGGGAAATGTTGATGTAGGAGAAGCTGTTGGGGCGGGGGGAAGGAAAATGGAAAATCTCTACTCTTTCCTCAACTTTTCTGTGACTCTAAAACTGCTCTAAAAAAAAAAAAAGTCTTAATTAAGTGCTGCAAAGAAAAACAAAACAAAAATTTATAAGAGGAAATATGTTCTGATACATCATGTAGTTGAACTCCAAACTCTCTCTGGTTTCATCCACATCAGCAAAAGATTCTCAGGTTTAGGAGAAAAAGAGAAAATGGCTAAACATATAGGTGGTAATTGTAAAAATTAGAAACCTAAAGCCCAGCTGAAGGCCAAACTGGTTTCCAGAGTGATCTAAATCAGTAAAGACATAACTGTGGTGTGAAAGACATCCATTTATTACATACCACATCGTCTCTAATTCTCTTGAAATACAGAACATATTATTGTCCCCATTTTAGAGATAAGAAAGATAAGGGTGAAAGAGGATTAACACATAATTTATCAGTGCTCATTATTACTGACACAATTTCAAACCAGACCTGATGTCAAAGCCTGTGCTCTTAAAAATTACACTGCATTTGTAGTTAAAGTAATAATAAGGATAACTGACAATTTTAGGGCTATTACATGCAAGCACTGTGCTATGAGTTTTTAATTCAGGATCATATAAAATCTAAATATATATAATGATAGGGCATGCTCTAGAAGTAGATTTTAAACTGTACACTAATAAAGGCATGCCTTGTTTTATTACACTTCACAAATACTTTTTTTTAACAAACTGAAGGCTTATGGCAACCCATAAGTCTATTAGCTCCATTTTTTCCATTTGCTCACCTTATTCTGGTAATTCTGGTCATATTCTGGTAATTCTCGCAGTATTTCAAACTTATTATTATTGTATTTGCTATGGTGATCTACAATCAGTTATCTCCGATGTTACTATAGTAATTGTTCTGAAGCACCACAAACTGTGCCATTCAAGATGGCGAACTTAATCAATAAATGTGGTGTGTGTTCTGACTGCTCCACCAACTGGCCATTCCTCTCTCTCTCTCCCTCTCTTTCAGCCGCTCTATTCCCTGAGATACAACAATATTGAAAGTAGGCCCATTAATAACCCTACAACGGCCTCTAAGTGTTCAAGTGAAAGGAAGAGTCACATCTCTCTCACTTTAAATCAAAAATTAAAGTGAGGAAGCTTAGGGAGTTAGGGAGGAAGACATGTCAATA